GATACCCTGAACAGCTGACCAGAGCTTTACCTACAACCAACAATGGATGTTTAACGCCGCCCAAGTGGGACTGCAACCCAAAGACAACAGCTGCAAACAGAGGACACCATCACCCACCAGCTACTATGTAATACTGTTCATTTAACTACAATTGACTTATTTAGTGTGTAAACTGAAATTTATCCCAGCTTCTCTCACAAGGGGTTTGCCACATTTTGGTGGACTTCTATCCCCAGTCAAGAAAGGGAACCACATTGTTTCAACATAGATCTCAAAATACCTGTCTCTGACATCCACTAACCAAACTGGTCTCACTAGTGGGCCTGTGGAAGTGGATCCTGAGGCTGGTCTCAAAGTATGGGCAGAGTGGTAAGGGTGAGGGTCGTCTGTCAAGTAACTTGATCTCAAACTGTTAAGGCTTCCTAGTTGCTGAGTGACTGGCAGCTCTTTTCTCTAAGAGGCTGGGGGCAGGCAACCCGATTCACACTACTAGAGATAAAATCTGAACCCTACACCTCCGTCATGAGACTACAGTCCCCATTTTGACTTAAGCAGAGAAGCCAGGCCTGCACCTGTGCCTAAGATTTTTTGAACATTTATGGGTTTTTTTCCTGCACCATGCACCAGAGTTCAGTGCCCAGCCTGATAAAGAGCTGTATATATCAAAATCTAGCTTCTATTTGTAAATTTTCAGTGGTCTAGTAAAGGTTATCATCACTCCCCCTTACCTTTGATTATATACAAAGACCTCAAAACTTTTTAATTTTTTATCAGCATAAGAAGCTTTAAACATTGAAGATCAATTTACCTTGGACAATGACTTGCCTCTATTAAGCATGCAATCGCCACCTTCGGAGGCCTCCCAGGGCTTCCCCACCCCGACGCAGGGTTTCCGGGGTGGACCGGGCCTACAAGGGGAAGCCCTCGTCTACTGGGGCTTCCCCTGGCAGGCCCAATCTACCGGGGCTTCTCCTGGTAGGCCCGGTCTACCACAGGAAAGCCTGCATCGGGGTGGGGAAGCCCTCAAAGGTGGTGATCGCGGTGGCAGGGGACCCCCAGGAGGTTTCCAATGGTGGCGGGGGACCCCCGGGATGTCTCCAAAGGCTGCAATCGTGGCAGCGGGGGACCCCCAGGAGGTCTCCGATGGCGGCAATCACAGCAGCAGGGGACCCCTGGGAGGCTTCGGACTGGTAAGGTGCTGCTTTTTATTTTTTTAAAAAAATTGTTCTGGGTGAGGTTTGGAGAGTAGTTTTTGGCTGGGGGGTTATGTTTCTGTGTTGTTTTGTTTTTTGGTGATTTTTTAAAAAATTTTGCAGTCCCAGACTTGCTCTAATGTTTATTTTTGGATTTCTTTCCTTTGTGTGTGTGTGTGTGTGTGTGTGTGTGTGTGTATGTGTTTGTTTGTTTTTTTGCAGTCCCAGCGTGGGACTTGCTCTATTTTCTTTCTTTCTTTCTTTTTCTTTTTTTGTATTTTTTCTTCGGCAGGAACGGATTAATCGGTTTTCAATGCATTCCAATGGGAAATGGAGTTTCTACTTATGAACATTTCAACTAATGAACATATTCATTGACGGATTAAGTTTGTAAGTAGAGGTTCCACTGTACAGAAATAACCCATTGACGGATTAAGTTTGTAAGTAGAGGTCCCACTGTACAGAAATAACTGCGGCAGGGGGCACATTTAACATACCCAGTCCGTTTTGCATTTCTCACTTTTTGCTTATAATGAATTGTGTAAGTTTATTATATTGCTGGGATGTAGAATGATATTCTGCTTTCCAGCACATGTATACACAGTACACAGATACTTGCAGCACTGTCAATAAGTGTCACAATCAGTGCACTGATCATAGTCCATCATATTTTACTTTTCCATGGTTACAGTTCCCATAAAGTGAACATAAGGATCCTATCTGATCTGGGATAAATGCATGTCCAAAGTGACACAGACATAGATAAAGCACCTATCGTAACAGTCCAGTCTGAATTCCATTAGTGCATGGATAACTAGGGAGCATGCTCGTTCCAGGTGGTTTATAGGGAGTATACCAGCCAGAAGGCAAAAGGCTGGAAACATCAACAGCACCAACTAATGTGCTTGTATTGACAGTGCAGAGCCCAAGAGAACCTTCCTGCAGTGAACATCATGCTTCAGGACTGGCTGCATATGATCTGGCAATTTCCTTCCTCAAGAACACGTCTGACTTGGCTAGTATACTGTATGTTGTTAGTATGGAATACAGTAGTGCCTCGACTTACAAACGTCCTGACATATGACCATTTTGAGTTACGACCAGCTCTGGCCACAAAATTTTGCTTCAACTTGTGGCCAGAGCTTTGGGTTACAACCAGAAAAAGTCAGGGGGAAAAGGCAGGGAATTCAAATTGTTAACTGTTGGTGGCGAAGAGGCTGCTTCTTTGTAGCTCTTTTGCCCCAGCAGTTAGAGAGTGTGCGATGGGAGCAGGCTTCGGACTACCTGGTGAGATAAGGTGCTGCTTTCTACTTTTTAAAAACTGCTCTGCGTGGGTTTTGCAGCATTGCTTTGGGCTGGGTGGTGGGATTATGTTTCTATGCTGTGATGGGTCTTGCAGGGTTGGTTTGTTTGGGGTCCCCCCCCCTGATTTCTGATGGGTCTTGCAAGGTTTGTTTGCTTTTTTGGGGTTCCCCCCATTTCTGATGGGTGTTGCACAATTTGTTTGCTTTTTGGTCCCATCCCCCCCATTTCCAATGGGTCTTGCACGGTTTGTTTGCTTTCTGCTTTCTTTTTTTGCATTTCCGAAGGGTCTTGCACAGTTTGTTTGCTTCCTGCTCTGCTTATAAAGGGGAGGATTTGATTTGCATTTCCGATGGGTCTTGCACGGTTTATTTGCTTTTTGCTTTTCTTTTCTTTGCATTTCTGAAGGTACTTGCACGGTTTGTTTGCTTTTCTCCCCCCCCCCTTTGGCCGGAATAGATTAATCATGTTTCCGATGGGTCTTACAGAGGTGGGGGTTTTTGTGTGTGATTATTTTCTTTGACAGGAACAAGATTAATCATGTTTCCGATGGGTCTTGCAGAGGTGGGGGCTTTTTGTGTGTGATTTTTTTCTTCGGCGGGAACAGATTAATTGCGTTTCAATGCATTCCTATGGGAAATGATGTTTGGACTTACGACCATTTTGAGTTACAACCGGAGTTCCGGAACCAATTAAGTTCGTAAGTCAAGGCACCACTGTACTGGGATGCTGTGATATTTGGTTTGTGGAACCAGATTGGTACAACAGATGAAATATTGGCCACAGGTCTCTGGGATGCAGTTCAAACTTCTACCATGAAGCATAGTGGGAGTCCTTGGGCAAGCCAGTATTTCTTGGCCTAAATTTTTTTTTATGTGAGGATAATATGAATAAAATAATTCCATGTGTGGTTTTTTGAGTTCCATGGACACAAGATGGGATCTAAACATGATAAGTATCATGACAGCAAATCACTAAAATGACTGGAAATATGCAAGCATTATTATGTTGGCAATTTTATCTCAACTCCAATATGGAATGAATTAAGGAATTAAGGGCAGGTTTTATGTTACCATGCAGGATGGTATCTCAAATAACTTAGTGCATTCCTTTTGTAAGAAGCTTTGGTTTTGTGCTTCTTGAACTTCATCTCATCCTCCCGGGCTGCGTGGCACACCTCTTTTGAAACTGAGAGGTTTTGCAAAAGAATTTAGTGATAAGATATTGGAGGTGGAAGCAGAGAAAGGAGTCACTACAATTCAGAAAAAGAGGTGCCAGGAAAATAATGGGAAAAAAATTCTACTGGGCAATATTGACAGTAGGTATTTGGATTCCAGCAACAATATTTTATTAAATTACTCATGACGAAACTGAGGAAATTAGATTTCACATATTTGGCAGAGTATTTCTACAATTTCCAGAATCCCCAGGTGGGTTGCAGGAGTGTGGGAGTTGTAGTCCAAGAAGTAACTTTTTCAACACTGATACTTTGCAATAAATATGAAAAGATAAATTATTAGAATTGAAATGTAGTATTCTGAATGTGTCCTGGAATATCAAGCTAATGTACCTTTCTTATTTCTGGCTTAGGGCCATTTCGTTCACAGTACAGGGCTGTGTGGCCACTTTCTTTTTTTTCATCTGCCTGGATTTCTTTGCTACTTGATAAGCTTCATTCAAATAGAGATCCATATTGGATGGTAGCAGCACTTGTCCATTTACTGCACCAGTGAAATCCAGCTCAGTCATAGTGGTTTATAACGGTTTATCGCTAACAATAGGTCTGGTATCACCCATCTACAAGTGTGCATTTTCGCGTGTTACACAAAGCAGAAACTGTATAGAGAGAGAAAATAGTCCCAAAATGCAAAGCCAACCTGAGTCAGGATCCATGTAATTCTTGTACTGTCTAACAAGTCCTTCATAAGGAAAGTGATTAATACGGGGCGTAGGTGGGGGCGAGGGAGCACAGTTTCAACAGCTCTCTCCTATGCAATTTTCAAATACAGCCAAAAGAGATTAAGCTGATTTAACAGAGCAACAATCCTTTAGCTTAGCATTCTCCTCTGTCTGAAGTACTGTAGTTCACTTTTTAGTGTGTCTTCCTCTCTTCCTCCTAGGCAGTGGGTGGAGGAAGGCATGAAAGAAAAACAGATTACTGTAAATTTTGGCAGGGAATTCAATTTGCATCATTTTCTCAGAAGTCATGTGATTTGGATTTCCTCTTGTTTATGATAGATTGCAAATGCCTTCCAGATGTTTTTAATTATCAAAAGCTTTTCTTAAAGGAGAGCCAAATGATCTTTAATAAAATTTCCTCTAGATTTGTTTTTAAAAAAATATATCTGAAATAGCCAATAAATTAGCATAGCTAGCTTATCAAGATGCCACATATTTTCAGTATAACCCTGATATGGGAAAGTCCTGCATTGCAAAGGAGAACATACTTTCAGTTCCTGTTTCCAGTTGAGATCATCATTGGTCCTAGCTCCGAGCCAAGCCTGTCTTGCCACTCTATTGGTCTGGGCTGGTTAGACTTCCTGCATAAACATAAACACCTCCAGTTTCAACTTTCTTGTTCAAAGTGGAAAGAAGCAGCTTCTTGACAACAATGGGTTCTAAAGTGTGGAGGTGAAAGAGAGAGGAAGAGAGATGGCATTTATTTGCTACTGCTCCACAGTGCTGACGCTGTTCAAAGGGGAGAGATTCTCATGCCCAAATGTTGGACATATGCCAGGTGGTTTGCAACGCTAGGAGCTGGAAAACAACAGAACCAGAAGAAAAGGAGATCTGATGAATGTCTAAAACTGGACACGTGGGGGCAAGACTGTACGCAGACAGAGACAGTTCCCCAAGTACTGAAGGAATTTGGCAATGGACAGTGGTTACGCACCTTTAAAAAACTGTCTTGGCTCAGCCCTTCCGATTAATACAGGTAATTCTCTGCTCTTCATAATCAACCTACCATATAACAGAGTGCTTCTTTCTTGAACTCTGTCTCTGTATGGTGGGAGGAGCTGAAGATGTAGCCAATGGGAGCTGATGTTGTAATGTTTGTGTGTTACTGTATTGCACAAATTGGTTTCCTTTTTGCAAAGGGTTAGCAAAACAAGGATCACGCAAATTAAATTGAACCGGTTCCTAGACAGGACGGCTGAAGATTGCAGGGCCCAGGGCACAGACAGAGATGTAATTAACCTTAGCTTACTTGTAGCAGTAGTATGAATTTATTAAGAGCTGGCTGGTCTTGTTTTTCAATTTTGTTTTGGAGAACCTTAGGGAGTTCCCAAAAAGGAGGTCCATGGTATTGGACAGTTTTTCCTGAATGACAGCTGTCAGTAGTGGACTTCTCATGCCAAACACAACCATTAGACCAGTGGTTCCCAACTTTGAGTAGCTCGGGTGTTCTTGGACTGTAACTCCCAGAAACCCTGGGTAGCACAGCTGGTGGTGAAGCCTTCTGGGAATTGAAGTCCAAGAAGACCTGGCTTACCCAAAGTTGGGAACCACTGTCCTAGAGTGTATTCTAAGTTCATACAGATCAATCTTTGCCATTTCATGGTGTGAAACTCAATAAGGTCTAAGGCCTACTTCAAGAGTTTTTTAGCAAAGGTTCCTGGAAGCTGGACATTTTAAGCCATTTATCTAGCATAATTTAACTTTTTTCCTACATCTGGGGGGGAATAACATGAATGTGTTTCCCCAGACTTCACAGGGCACAACTGGTGAGGCCCTTTTGGTTGGCAATATTTCTATGCTTTCACATGTGCTGTTTCCTGCTTTTGAAGTAGATTGATTATCTGTTACCTTGCCTTTGCCTTTTTGGAGTAGTTTTAATGGTTTTTTAGGACTTCCAGGAACATGACTGGGGAAACACAAATAGGATATCCGAAATAGGTTTTCCTCTTGTTTTAAAACCAAAAGGACAGTTACATTATAAAATACAAAAATGAAAGGGAAGCCTTCTTGGGAGGGGGAGTCTGAAATAAAAGGGGTACAAAATTTTTAGCCATATGCAACTTTTTTCTGCCAATCAGATCCTCAACAGAGGCTGGGTTACATGTCCCACCATTCTAAGAAGCTTGGTGGGTACAAAAGGCAGTAGCTTTCTCGTTAGCAGCACCCTAATTGTGCAACTTTTTTCTAAGGGAAGTTGGGCTGGTTGAAAGACAGGCAACTAAACCTATAAAACTGTTTCAGAAATATTGTTCTGAAGACCATTTGCAGGATTGCCGGGGGCGGGGGGACACTATGCAACTGGTTTTTAGTGAACATTTGAACCCATTTTTAAACAATGTTCTAAATCTATTTTTAAATGTTTTTAATTTTTAAAAGGGTGGGGAAGAGAAAGGGTGGAGCAAGACAGTAGCAGAGTTACAACAGGTCTGGTCCAGAAACAAAGTAATTTAAATATTTTGTAAATTGCTTTGGCAGCCCTGCTGAAAGGCAATAAACAGATGCTTTAAACAGATAAATTAGTAAGGGCTATCCCAGACTGCTGAATGAAAACATTTAGCTCACTCACCCAAAATAACTAAAAAGTAATTATTTTCATTACTTATGGACAACAGAAAACAATACTTTTTTTAAAAGCTGTAATTAAAATAGTAACTACTTCCAGAAGTTCAATCTCTAAATTATAATCTCTTTGATTATAAAGTAACTTTCTAAGCATTACATTCTTGCCATCCATGTACTAGAATTTAAACAAAAAAACAGTAACAAAGAATTCTGAGGAGAAGGGTCTGAACTGATTGATGAATTTGCTGATGTGCGCATTGAGTCTACTGGATTCCTTTCAGACATGGATCTTTGAAAGGAATAGGTGTTTGGGGCTGCTTGGGCAGCTAACCTCATTTGCCAAAGGCATCAGACGATGCGAAGAGGGCTGTCATCACTTCCCCCTGTTAAGTGTGGAAGATTAAATTTACCATCCCTGAGAAAATGAGTATGATAAATGTCATGGAGATGTGGTAATGTTTTCAAGCATTATTCTAATCTTCATCACAAGGTATAGCAATGAAGGTTTTAAAAAGATAAAATAACAAAACCCCAAAAACCCCAAAGGTGAAGTGTAAATAATACCAACTGAATGGATGTGCATAATGAACCACATATCACACTATGTATGTGTCATAAATGTGCAGTATAAGAGACAGAGTAAAGAGTTTGGACAGCGATACCTGTGGGAGAAGTGTAATTCAGCCCTCCCGCCTGTGTAATTCATACTTCCCCTGAGGACAGGGGTAGGGAGGGTTTTGTGGGATATTTGCTAGGTGACTCACTCACCAAAGAATATTTATTTGTTAATTAATTTATTTTATGAACGTTGCACAGACAAAACAATGCAGCCTTCTACTGCTCACTCTTTGTTCAGAGTTTACAAACCATGACTTGCTGGGATGTGTAGTTTTGCCTGTCCTTTCACCCCCCACCCCCCGGTAGTATGTTGGTGTTATTCTGCAATTTACTGGAGGAAGAAATTGGAAAAGCATTGCGTTCAATTAATTTCTGGCTCAGGCCATGATTCTAATGATGTCTTGCAACCTGTTCTCTCTCTCTTTCTTTAAAAAAAATTTATTTACAAATGAGTCATTTGAAAAGTGAAAAGACCTATCTTCCCCTCCAGCCCCCATCAAATCCATCATTCTGAAGCATGTGGAAGGATAAAATGTTATATGCAATTCATCTTTGATTCTCTGTTTAATAGGTGCTAGACCGGAATCCTAACTAGCCAAGATGGCTGAGGGCCAGCTGAGCTGACACTAGGCAAGCTGAAGCTGTGCTGATTTGAGATCTCTCCCAACTTAAGGGGACATGGAAATGACTTAAGCCAAGGTGAGCTTAACTTTGAGCTCAATGGCTGTGTTTCTGGGCCAGACCTGTTGTAACTCTGCTACTGTCTTGCTGCACCCTTTCTCCTCCCCACCCTTTTAAAGATCTTCTGCCAACATCAGAACCAGCACAACAGCTCCACTGGCAGATCCCTCTGCTGGCAGATCTCTGAGATCAGCCAGCAGAAGGTGGTTCTGCCTGCATGCTTCTCTCTATTCCCACTCCCTGCAGCTGACATACAGTATCTTTGAGTTAAGATTATGCAGTGAGTGAGACATATGTGATTCACAATTCTGAACTAGCTGTAGCTTACTCTTGAAACTTAACTCAAGCCCGAATTCAGTTTGCCCTAAGCAAGATGATTGGATAGCACTGCGTAAAATTATAGTAAGAGTGCTAACTGAAAATCTCTTTAGGGCCAACTTATAATACCTCATATTCATTCACATGCTTGTTTTACTTTGCCAAAATCCTTTGTCAGGGAATTTCACCATAATATTTATTACACTGTCTTTTCCTAACTTCCATATCAACTGGTTGGCTGTCTCATGAGTTCAGCCAAAGATCCAGAACCTGAGGGGTTAACTACAGCTGAGGAGAATGCTGAGCCATTAGAAGCACATACAGCTGAATCGCCACCAGATTCTCCTCCCCCAGTAGCCAGGGTGAGGGCTAGACTTCGGCAATGACGGAAAGGTCAGAGGATCGCTTGAATGCTGCCTGCAGAAACATCAGGTCAGCTAGTCCTGAGTTTTGACAAAATGAAAGGCTTCCAGCAGTTCAATGACTGTTTTGCTAAATAATAAATAATCAGCTCCCAGGCAGCTGGGAAGTTCGTGGAAGCAACAAGTCAAATCTCTGGCTCGCATCCACGCTCCTGACTACCTTGAACCTTGTTCTCTGGACCGTTGGCTTTGGACTCTGACCCTGCACTACGTTGTGTGATTTCGCTTTGGACCCTGACCTCGGCTTATGGTTTGTGATTTGACTTTGGCATTTTGGTATCGGCTCTGCATCCTAAGAACTTCTGATATTGGACTGGCTTATCAGACTTTGCTCTTGAAACCCTTGGGAATGTGACAGGCTGCAAGAAAGAAAGGAAAAAAAAGATCCATGCATCTTTTTGAATTTCTAAGCAAAGCACTCTCCTAATGCCATCATCCTGCCTCCAGCAGTGCGACATGTGGTAACCCAATAGGGAATGATTTCTTTTCCTATTTCTTCTATGGTTCTCTTTCTTCTTCCATGGAGAAAGGTGAGAAAAGATAGGTGAGCAGGGAAGCTTCATTTTATTCCTACAATTTTGAATTTCTGCCCCATTTGTAGTTCCTTGATTTCAAAAACCAAATACAGATTCACCACTTTTTAATTCATCGTCCTGAAAACATATTTATGTCAAAAGTAAAGATTTCACTTGGCAATGAGGTTCTCCTGAGGTCCACCACCACCACTAGCAAGGTTCTGTGTGCATTGCATGAAAACCAAACACGTTCATGAATGTACCCATGATCCAAAAAAGCAGAAAGTAGTATTTCTACATGGCTGACTCTTCTTCAAGTTACAGTGCAGCTCAGCTGTAAACTGAGGCCATGAATTAAATTTAATCAGAGACATGCTCTATAGTGATCAGGTTTATAAAAATAATTTTACATGGACTTGGAAATGGAGAGCACATTTCATCATAAAAAATATTTGTATTCAAGCATTTACTTTAGCTGCAATATGTGGTTCTGTGTGCACCCAAGGATGTGGGAAGGCCCAGATATAGAGGGTGTATGTGTGCACCTGGGAACGCTGGAGAGCAGCTTCCAGTTGGAGTTGACAGTAGCAGACAACAGGGACCAATGCTCTGGCTCAGCAGAAGGCAGTTTCCCATGTTCCTATCATAGGAATATGGTTAAGACTGTTTTAAAACTATCCTCTTTAAACCTGTAACAGAGGTTGACTTCCAGCAGAAACCTCATGACTGAATGAAATCTGGTATAGAAATAACCAGTTTTTAAAACTCATTAACAGCAAAGCTCACAAAGGTGTAAGCAGGATTGGAAGGAAAAGGAATCCCATTTGGCCTTCTTGATAACTGTTTCGCACTGATACAAA